AATCACTAAAGTTAAACAATGTCAAGCCTGGTCAATATCTAGATGGGTGACCACTTGGGAATACCAGGTGCTGTAAGCTTGGATGTGCCTGCGGTGAATGGGCTTAGTCATATCCCACCCTGAAACAGTTTCTTGTGCAATCACTAAAGTTAAACAATGTCAAGCCTGGTCAATATCTAGATGGGTGACCACTTGGGAATACCAGGTGCTGTAAGCTTGGATGTGCCTGCGGTGAATGGGCTTAGTCATATCCCACCCTGAAACAGTTTCTTGTGCAATCACTAAAGTTAAACAATGTCAAGCCTGGTCAATATCTAGATGGGTGGCCACTTGGGAATACCAGGTGCTGTAAGCTTGGATGTGCCTGTGGTGAATGGGCTTAGTCATATCCCACCCTGAAACAGTTTCTTGTGCAATCACTAAAGTTAAACAATGTCAAGCCTGGTCAATATCTAGATGGGTGGCCACTTGGGAATACCAGGTGCTGTAAGCTTGGATGTGCCTGTGGTGAATGGGCTTAGTCATATCCCACCCTGAAACAGTTTCTTGTGCAATCACTAACGTTAAACAATGTCAAGCCTGGTCAATATCTAGATGGGTGACCACTTGGGATTAACAGGTGCTGTAAGCTTGGATGTGCCTGTGGTGAATGGGCTTAGTCATATCCCACCCTGAAACAGTTTCTTGTGCAATCACTAAAGTTAAACAATGTCAAGCCTGGTCAATATCTAGATGGGTGACCACTTGGGAGTACCAGGTGCTGTAAGCTTGGATGTGCCTGTGGTGAATGGGCTTAGTCATATCCCACCCTGAAACAGTTTCTTGTGCAATCATTTAAGTTAAACAATGTCAAGCCTGGTTAATATCTAGATGGGTGACCACTTGGGAATACCAGGTGCTGTAAGCTTGGATGTGCCTGTGGTGAATGGGCTTAGTCATATCCCACCCTGAAACAGTTTTTTTGTGCAATCACTAAAGTTAAACAATGTCAAGCTTGGTCAATATCTAGATGGGTGGCCACTTGGGAATACCAGGTGCTGTAAGCTTGGATGTGCCTGTGGTGAATGGGCTTAGTCATATCCCACCCTGAAACAGTTTCTTGTGCAATCACTAAAGTTAAACAATGTCAAGCCTGGTCAATATCTAGATGGGTGGCCACTTGGGAATACCAGGTGCTGTAAGCTTGGATGTGCCTGTGGTGAATGGGCTTAGTCATATCCCACCCTGAAACAGTTTCTTGTGCAATCACTAACGTTAAACAATGTCAAGCCTGGTCAATATCTAGATGGGTGGCCACTTGGGAATACCAGGTGCTGTAAGCTTGGATGTGCCTGTGGTGAATGGGCTTAGTCATATCCCACCCTGAAACAGTTTCTTGTGCAATCACTAACGTTAAACAATGTCAAGCCTGGTCAATATCTAGATGGGTGACCACTTGGGATTAACAGGTGCTGTAAGCTTGGATGTGTGGGTTGTGTAGTGGATAATAAATGAATGTTATGTAATAAAAACAAGAAATATGTTCAGTATGATTTATACATCCTCACTACTTTGGGCACAATTCAATACATGAACAATGAATAATGATTTCAACATATATCATTGTTCATTACCATGTCCTTGTCAAATTGTGCCATCCATGGATGAGTCACATGATCTCATTTCACATATCACATCCACTTCATATGTGATATGTTTATTTATTATAACAACAATATACTAATTTAATCAATTTAAAAGGGTATTAATTTTGATATGTACATGTATTGTGCTTTGGACTTCTTTTGAAAATAATTTAATGACTTTAAAAATTTTCATGGTACACCAACAATCCTCTTACAGTACACCCAGTGCACCACAACACACTGGTTGAAAATCAATGTTTTACAACATAGAATGTGAAGTTTGCTTCAAAATTTCTTTTTTTAATCATTTCACCACAAGCAAGGCAATAAAGCCACTAAGATGCAAGGGGAATGTGTTACTGAGTATGAGTAAATATGAGAAAAAGTAAGTATTATTAAGGAGAGAGAGAACAATATAAGACCAGGAATTAAGAAGACAGAAGCGAATGATTGACATTGCATCTAAATTTTTGAAGATTAACGTTGACTAGCAATCAAGAAGCCAGAAGGGTGTTCCACAAGTGAGAAGTGCGAAACTGTTAGCATAGAACTTATGGTTACATCTAGTCATTTCAGCTGTAAAATGATGAGATGTAACTACCAATCTAGTACTGCATTTAAATTCATAAAGTCAAGGTACTATAGAGGAAAGTTCATCCGAATAATTAACGTGAAAGTATTTATAGAAAAGGCACAGGGAAGCTTATGGTATGGCAGTAGGAAAGTGACTTAAGCTGAGATGCCAATGTCATTGCAGATTCTTCTTTGGATTTTATCATGAATCTTTAAATGTCCAGGAGTACCCGACCATATGTGGCAGCAATATTCTAAACATGGAGGAATGGAAGAGTTATAAACATATAAGATAGATTCAGGCAAGAAAAATCAAGTAGTTGCAATAGGAATAGCCACGATGACTTAACAAACTAAGCAAATTAGGAAAATATCCTTAAAATGGAGAAAAAAGTGCTAAATTAGTATTTAATATTTAATCTATGTGGCAGTGAATATTGGACACATAGCAAGAAAAGACTTGAGGTTTACAGAGATGTGGTTCTGTTGAGATGTTGTGAGTTCCCGCGTGTTGGTGTAAGAATCAAGACAAACACAGTTGTAGAGGAAAATACTGGTATATTCATGAAAGCAATTAACAATAGAGTGATTAGTAGAACGAAGGTTGGTTAGTACGAAACAATATCCAAAGTCTATAGTCCAACGGTATGTACCAGGTAAGCTTATCTGGACTGCTGACGCTCTCTCCCACTCGCTCCCCAGAGCTGACTGATATAAGAGGGACCAGTCCATTACTAGTTAGAAGGTGGGTGCGCCCCAACAGGTTCTATTAGTGAATGCTAAGAATACTATGGACATAACATGTGAGTAATGAGTAAGTTTTAAGGAGCTAGACAGAAACTGATGTTAACAATTAGAAACAGCTGAAATTTCTGGGCTACATAATGAAGAAAGAAAACCTAGAGAATTTAACATGGTATTATTTAAAGGCAAGAATAGGGGGTTGGGAGGGAGAAGGGGGTGAGTAACTTTGAGTGAATGGATAACATATCAAGGATGGGTAAAGAGGTGTGGAGTGGGTAGTCATGGTCACATTTTTTTTTTTTTTTTTTTTAAACATTACACCCTGAGCAAGGTGTGAAGCCACTAGGGTGCAGGGGGTTGTAGAAGATTTGGAGCAAGAGCAGATGTAAAATAAGTAACAGAACTATTGAACAAACAGAATTGACAAAGTTTGCAATAACAAGAAAAAGAACAGGGCAAAAAATAATATAATGCCCGCAAACAATATATGTAAGGCAAATCAACAGTAATAAGGCAAAGCAACAGTAATAAGGCAAAGCAACAGTTATAAGACAAAAAATGCACAAAACTAAGAATTGGTGTTGACACACAAAAGCAAGTTCTTCATAAGTGAAGTGTAGCATTCTGATTTCAATAAAAGACAGACTATGACTACATCTGGTCAAACCAAGAACCAGCCTATTTTATTGGCTAGGTAAAAAATCCCAGCATGCATTTGTGTGTTTCTGCCTATAAATGGAGAAGGGAAAGTGTTTTGCAGTCATCCCCCCCTCCCAGTAAGATTGAAATTAATACGTGGTAGCAGTTTTAACAACAATAAATAGGAATTTGTGGAGAGCCATGATTGTCTCCATCCTGATAGGACATGACATACATAAGAAGAATGAACTTTTACTGCTTGAGTTTATGGTCTTGACAGTAAAGATTAAATTAAATTGACTTGTTTTCTAGGAAGTAGTACATGCTTCTCTCTATGCCATTAATCACAGCTGACACATCTGTCAGTGAAAAACCTTTACTGAGTCTTGCTTTAGCCTAGAAATAACTGTTTATGCCATAGGTGTCTCATTTTGTCAAGACTTCAACATTTCACTTGATACTAAAATAAGAAATCATTGGACTATATCTTAAAATTTGACCCCCTTTTTAAACTTGGTATTCTTTAAGGGTACAAACCTCTTCTCTATTTTAATAATCTACATCATTTACTTAATCATTTCACCTCAGGCAAGGCCATAAAGCCACTAAGATGCAAGAGGAGGGAAGTGTTATTGAATATGAGTGAATATAAGAAAAAGTAAGTATTATTAAGGAGTGAGAGAGAGAGAACAATGAAAGAACAGGAATTAAGAAGACAGAAGATAACAATTGACATTGCATTTATTTTTTTGAAGATAAAAGTTGACTTGGAAGCAAGAAGCCTGAAGAGGGTTCCACAAGTGAGAAGTGTGAGAGAAGAAACTATTAACATAAGGAGTATGGCTGCATCTAGCCATTTAAATAGTAAAATGATGAAACCTAACTGTCAATCTAGTACTATGCTTGAATTCATAGGTACCATAGAGGAAAGTTTGTCAGAATAATTAGCCTGAAAGTATTTATAGAAACGGCATAGCTTATGCCACTATTGCTACCACTTGTGCTGTCTTCCCTGATCAAGGCATTCACCTTCTGGATATATTCTTCTATACATGATGTTGATGGGTGAACAGATTGCCTTTTGTATGTTCTTCCTGCTTCAAAACATTCTGCACCTTTTGTTGATTCATGGTGCAAGCTCCATATTGTGCCAACATCTGTTAAGGGATTGCTCTACTTACAGAAAGTGCACTATGCCACTTTATTGGTCCAATCACCGAGTGGAATGTCTATATGTTTGAACTTGATGCACACTGCCACATGACTGAATGATGGAATGTTGTATGCAACTAGCTACCTGTCATTCCAGGTGCATACACATTGTTTTGCATCAGTGGGGACATTGTTTTTACCACATAATTTCAAATTTACCTTTACATTCTGATTTACCTTCATATCACTTTCAGTATATTGGGCTTT